TGGTAAACCATAACACAAATTCGGAAAATAATAACAGAACGATGGTTTAAATATTCCGGGTTTATGAATTACTATTTCGTCATTACTGTTTACAATTTCAGAAGATCAAAACGAATGTTCTCCGTAAATATAATGTATTTCCTTCAATACCTACTTGCTATATAATGGGCTAACAAGGACGAAGTTTTATTAAGTTTACTTGCCCTATTTTTGGTTGTTTCATTCCAAGAATCTCGTTTCCGTTCGTAATAGTAACGGTCGTTACTCCGCCTACAGTAATTTAATTTAGTTTACATTAACATTTAGCCAATTATAAGCTATTACAACCTAACAAAAACTATAAAAATGCGAGGTATAACAAACAAATACAAAAAAAATGGGAGAAATACTAGAAACGATTTATATCTTAAACTTTAGGATAACCTATAAAAATGTGGACCTTTGATAAAAAAACGTTTCTAAATAAAATGTTAAAAGAAATTCTTTACGAATAACTTAATCATTACATCCAGGTGGCAATTTTTTTTTCTTTGAAGAAATCATACGAGACGTTTTTGAAATGAATTTATGCCGTCATGAATAAAAACGTTTTCGGGTATAGTGTAAGTAACGCAACACCGAAAGTAGGAATTATTGTACGGCCCATTGGGTTCGACGAGACCGTGTAATTGAATCAACAACGAAAAAAAAAGGGGGACAAAGGCGACGTTGACAGAATAATTTGTACATTCGGGGCGGGAGGCTTTGTTGCTGTTATTACATAAGACATTTTATTGATGGATACAATAAAATTGTGTACATATTCTATTTTTAGCAAAAGTATTTTTTTATTCCAACAAATTAAAAAAATACTTAGAGCCAAACTGTCTATGCTTTTAATATTTTTATCTCAAACAATCATTTTTTTTCAGTTTATTTTGTTCTTAAAAAAATTTAAACCTACTTTTTGTAAGCATCAATTTAAATTATAGAGAGTTTTTAAATAGTTTTATCAACAGTAGACCCCATTATTTCGTAATCCTATTAAATCACACACGCTCACACACATACAAGAGAACTTATTACGAACTCTTTCTCTGTTTTTCACGCTCGATTGCCGGCCTGGATGCGATCGTTTGACACCGAATACGTACATCGAACAGATCCTATTTTTTAATTTTTTTTTTTTTTCGTATTTACTGTGATGTTTACAAAACGAGCATAACGATAATAATTCGAACGTCCACGAAATTCGTGTTAACGCGCCTCCGCTCCGTTGACCCGTTCGTAATCGTTATGATTTATGCGATATTTCCATTATAAAATGTCCGAGAACATTTTGTAACGCTATAAAAAGAAATAATAAATTTAATTGTCCGGTCATTTAAATTAGGTGAAATGGTTTGTTTTTGGAGAATTTATCATTTTCTTTGAAGCCATTGATGTCAAAGCAATTAAAATTAGAGAAGTCATTCAAATTAAATTATATGAAAAGAAATTGTATATTAATAGTACGTGATTTATGTTCTGTTATAGTTATGATTTTTATGAAATATATATCTTATTAATTTAATTAGCAAAGACAAATTTAGATAGAAGCAATAATTATTATTTCTATTATTATGAATAATTGCACATAGCAGCAATTAATAGCTGTAATTGTAATGAGTGTTCAGTAGCTATGAGATATGTCACAATAGCTCTAATAAATAGGCAATACTCCTAATTAACCAAAACATGAGTGGCTAGGGCTATGGTTATATGTAATTGTTACAAGTTTTAGTTTTTGGGAAGTGGATTGATCTGGACAGTGTGAAAAGAACTACATATTGCTAACAAAGAAGTAAATACTCCTCGCAAAAGAGTAACTACTGCTGTCAGAAGACTAAATATTGCTTGCAGAAGAGTAGATACTGTTTGCACAAGTCTACATTCTCCTGACAGAAGAAGAGATACTGCCTACAAGAGATTGGATCGCAGAAGACTAGTTACACCTCGCAAAGAACTAGATATTAACTATTAGCAAGACTAAATATTGCTACATATAACAAGCCCATTACCAAATGTTCTTTTAAAGCATAAAAGTGGCAATTAAAATACAAAATTTATCGGTGTGATGATAATATTTAGAGCAGATTTTACACCTCACTCAATTTTTGAGTACAACTCAAAGAATATTGCGGTAACTCCATGTTGTAATCTCACACGTGAATTTTTTTAAGCAGAACCTGAGCCAGTATTATGCGGAATAGAGTGAACGTTTTCACCCAGAATGCTAAAGACTTCGAACGTAATGTAATGTTTATTTGTATTTCTTTTAATTATGTAAACTGAAACGGAAGACGGGTCCGGACGACCTACTAAGAACAGAATTAACAAATATATTTACCTTGAAACTAATTTTGGAAGCAATAAAGAAATTTTTGAAATTATATGTAAAATTGTTAATAATAAACTTAGAAACTGGAAGAAAAAAATGCTTCAATATCAAACCCAACCCAACTCAACCTAAATAATTGAGTTATTAAACGCTTTGATGAATTCTTTACAAATATTTCTACAGAGCTCGTAAATATTCAATCAGTAGATCATTTCAAGTAATGAACTAAGCACAATCTGATTATCTCTATAAAATTTGGAAAAATCACACTCCTTTTTCTTTTTTTCCGCATCATAAACAAATATGTATATGGAATTAGTATTTATCTTCTCAAGAAAACTCATAAAATTTAGTCACTCAGCTTATTATAAAGCAATATGGAGTTGCTCTTTGGATATGTTCTTTAGAAACTGATTGAATGGGTTAATGATCGGTTTCAATATGATAAAACTGTTTAGCTGATGTTTAGTGTTGTGCTAAATCTTATCAGATCTTATTTCCATGGCCGCTCTGAAATAGAAGAATGCAATCAAATGAACGGCGATCCAAAATCTATTACAATTGGGGTGCCTCCAGGTAGCATTATCTCAGAATCTTCGTTTACTATCAATTGTCTCCCTCTCCTCTTAGATCATGATATTATGTCGCTGGTTTAGGATCAAGGGAAAGAATTTCCAGATAATAAACATTTTGGAATTTATAAATTTATATCTAATAGGTTTACTCCCAAATAAACTTGTTACATATCTCAAAAAGTCCAATAACATGATTTTCACAACTAACGAACTGATCGCGAAGTCTTGTGAATATTCTTGTGAACAATTTTCTTACATAGTACTTAGTTCTTATTTACTCAGCCATCAATTAAAAACGTACGACAAAGAGATAGCGAAGGAATTACGGTATGGTGTCACTCTTCCATTCTTAGCTAGTTTTCTGTCTGCAGAAAAAAGTTGTTTGGGCAATTGACAAGTTTCCTCACAGATCAAGGTTTATACCTTAAATATATATATAAACGCATATTTGTCCAATACGTCCTAATAATGTTATCATCGCTTTATACGCACAAAAGATATCTATAGATAAATATCCATAACATCTAACATTGCCCGTTATTGCAAAAACAATATTTTTCACAACAAATTAGAATCCTCTAAACTTATAGCTTTTGCAAATCTTGTTAGCCCTTATGTTTTCAATGTCATAAAAATACACATTATCAACAATTAGCAAATACTAATTAATTCATTAATTAGTTACTAATATTTATATTGTTCCCAGCAAACCGAATTTGTCTCCTTTGAACCTGTTTCTGAAGAAGATTGCAACATATCATAGGAAACGTCAAACAGTATTTTAACACAACATAAACCGAAAGATTAGTTTAAGATACAGCTAAAGTATTAACCAAGAACTCGAGGTATGCACGACCTATCAAGTGTAATAGCAAAATAGTTCCCATCATGCCCAACTAGATATTTACAAAAAGACGCCACTGATGTCTTGTTTAAACAATAGCAAAAAACACTCACAAAATATATCACACGTTTGATAATCCATAGTAGCAAGGGCTTGTGTTACATTTGAATCAATATTCTTCCAACTAATTATAACATTCTTTAATACAATTCAAAATGTGTTACTTTGTCACCGAAGTCAGTTGGTGACCAAGAAATGTATGTTTCTACAACATTCCATTTACTAAGATCATACATAAACACCATATAACTCGGTTTAGTATTTGAATACGTAATCGTTCTGGAATATGTTATTATTATTATCAAGGCGTTGAATATATGCAATTGATATAGGTACAATCTAAAACTTAATAACTATATGTTATAAGAATGGAAAAGCAAAGAGAACGAGACCACAACAACAACCTCATTCGAAAAAGCGTTACTAATAAACTTATGTAACAATAAATAAAAATAAATAAATATAAAAATAATTAAATTTTTCACAAATATTATAAATAAACAAATGAAGTGAAAGGAAATTTAATTTTATCAACACATTTTAAATTAAACTAACTGATTTGTTTACTTTTTATAAAATATTAATAATATTTCATAAATTCGCGCTGTCAATACACTTTAAATTTTTATTGAATGCGATTGATTAAATTAGAATGGTATAAATTCGCGTTTAATAATTCATTTTGTTCGTTTCACGGATCCATGAATTTGTATTAAAATCGATAAGGTGTTCTACTTATTTAATTTCATCAAATATTTATAAAACCCAATTATCCAATTAAAATTTTTTTGCATTTGGTGTTTAGAATCGCGCCGGGGAAGGTCAACATCAATGTAATTCATCTTAATTAAAACAGATTATGATTGTCCAGTGCCGTTTCGTTTATGCGATACCGCATTTACCACGGAGTTGGCAAATAAAAAAAAGTGAAATTGTAAGTTTAAATTAAACAGATAACGAAATCTAAACAATTTCATTCAACGAAAATAAACATTTTGAAATGACAATCAAAATTATTCAAAGAAATTATCATTGCAAAACGTAATCAAAGTCTGATGGTGCATAAACCGAAATTTTCTCATGAATATTAAATAACGACCGATTGTTTTTAGTGACGAATTTATTGTAATTATTCATCTCAAAGATTTCTTTTCAAGCATACCTGAAAACGAACTTGGACCTGCGCATCCTGCAAAGTTATATTTCAAGAAAATTTTCGAATAAAACACCCACTTCACACTACATATTAGTACGAAAAACACAAAAACACCAACAGTTATAAAAATAAATCAAAATAAACATTGAAAAGAAATCACATAATTAAAAAATTTATTTAAAATAATTTTATGGTTTTTATTTTTAAATTGTTCGCCAAAAATATTTATAAATTTTTTTCTATTTTCGCGAAGCGCACGTGTAATAAACGATCTGTAACCGGCCTATAAAGCTTACTGTTAGAGCTGCAGAGGACGACTAAGCGATCGAACTGAACTGTGTTAGGTCTTAACGCTCAAAGTTAAGGCCTAACGTACAACGACACAGGAATCATCTACGAAACGTTTTTACTACATACTGCCATAAGAATTTTATTCTGTTTAAATCAGAATTATCACCATCAACTCAATTAAATTTTTTTTATTATCTCCTTTAACTTTGTAGTTTTGCTAAAAAATTAATCGATGTCTAAAACTAAACTGCTTATTACTTAAGTATGTAATCGGGAATTATTATCAACCCTCGTGATTATTTTGCAACCAACAAGACTTAATAGGATTAAAATGCATAAATAAAACCGGTTAAAGGAAGGTTTTCAACAAAATCCTATAATTATCGTTAGAAATTGACTCTTATTTCTCATCTATTCGCTCCTATAATCATATTCACGAGCACGACGTAAACATTTACGTATCAATAATACCACTGTATACACTTAGTTTAGAAGTGATAATTTAAATAATATCTGCAATCATAAATTAAATCACCTACAAAAATGTGTACCTTTTTTTCGATAATCAATTCATATGGAGATTACAAACATGTATTAAAATTTAAAAAATTAACACGTGAATGGTCTGCAAAAAAAATTAAATTTGTCCCCATTTTCTTTCATTTATAGGTTTTAGTTACAACAATGTTTTCGATTCGCTTTCGTGTTAAACATAGACTTTAAACCGCAATTTCTGCATGGTTGTTTCTCGATATTTCACGCTTAAAAATTTTTACCATGACACAAAAATGTTACATTCAACATCGAAGAACATAAAAATCTATGAATTTTTAAGCAAGGCGTTAGGTAACTTTTAAATTTTTATGATTACCTAGAAATAAGCTTGGTGTTTTAATCCCATCAAATAACAACTTTCAAATTATAATCCAAAGAGAAATGTAGTTTTGTACAATTATTATTAAATTTATTTATAAATTAATTTTGAAAACAATTTAATTTTGAAATTGTGACCAACATTTACTCATTTCTTAATTAAGTGATTTTATCAAGTAACATATAAGTTATCATTTTTCATTTTGAAGAGAACATTTTAAGCTTTCATTTAAGATATAACTCCTATGAACAAATATGGAGTGGCAGCCTGGTATAGAAACTTCAGTTATCAGTAAACTTTAACGAATTCAACGAGTAGCTGGATTACTCCAGCAATGGATGTTCTGTTTGGCCTATCTCCTTTGCATTTGCATATAGAGAAAGTGGCCAGAACTACCATTTACAGATTAAAGCAATATGCCCAAAATTGCTCCGACATGCCCTACCAATGGACTGCGAAAAACACTATAAGCACTGATACTGTGCTATCAATGTCGTCAGATTTGACGAGATTACTACCAATGATTAATGCTCGATACCAGATTGTACTACCTGAACGGCAGTCCTGGATCGAAAACGAAAATTCTCTGGTTCAGGCAGATATTTGCATGTTCACAGATTCATAAAAACGCCGAAAGGGGTCGGGGCAGGAGTATACTGCCAGATACTTCGGATTAAGCCAGCCTACAGCCTGGGTACGTATTGTACTGTATTCCACGCGGAAGTATTTGCTATTGACGTAGGTGCTAAAATCCTTCTTGAGAGAGGGGTGAAGAACATTTTGAACAACTACGATTTTCTCAGACAAGCCACTCTCCAGGTGCTGCAGGCCGTGAAAACGGTGTCTGGTTAATGACTATCAAAGAACTTTAAACACACTGAGTTGTGATAACAGAGTTTCTCTGATCTGGGTGCCAGGTCACTTTGAGGTTGCTGACAATAAAGCGGCAGATGAGCTAGCGCGAGAGGGCAGCGCTATAGCGTTATGGGGCCAGAGGCAGCAGTTGGTACATCATTTGTGATGGCCAAATATAGAATTGGACTGTGGGCTGAAGAGAGATTTCGCCTAGTGTGGACCAGTTCTCTTGGAATGACACACGCTAAGTTGTTTATTAATATCACCACGTCAAACCCAGGAATATTTTAGGACTTGCTCGTAGCAGCATTAAAGTTCTAATGGGTGTCTTTACTGGGCACTACCAATTAAAGACTAGAAGACATATAATTTATGTAATGTAAGCTATAATTCATTCCTTAACACGCACAAATAATGCGGTGATAAGTTGATCCAAATTTGAATTACTCTTGTTGTAGGTTTCACTTTTCGTAGAGCATGATGTAGACTTAATGAGGCATGATAAAGACTTGGCGCAAACATGGAATAATCTTATTGCACTTCTGATAAAAAATACAACAAAAACATTGTGCAGATTTAAAATTCTATTAAATTCTGTTTTAACCGAGACTTCAGTTTAGGTAGATGTCAATAAAACACAAGTTTCAATGCAATTTCTGTTACGATCAAGTTTTCGTATGATATTACATAATTTAATCATAAAATTTGAGTCAACCTCAGTGAAAACGAGCTGTTTTGAATTCTTCAATGAACTCAACTCTATTATGAAAATGATGCATTCATTTTAAAATCATAAATGAGTACTTAACACTCTAGAAGATAAATTCTAAATTTTAAAATGTTCTTGTCCGAAATCAATTTTCATCAAAGAAATCATTCAAGCATATACTTAGAACTTTGTAGAATTCAAGTATACAAGTTATGCCATCCTGATTACCTGTTGCTACGATTTCGACAATTACATATTAAGTTTTTAAACGAACTCAAATTCATTTTAAAACCCAACGTTATTTGAATGAATCCAGAACTTGGAGCAGTAACTAATCAATTAGACCCATCCCTTACTAGAAGAGATGTAACAGATTGATATGTATCAGTTATTATTGCGTGTTATTTAGTCGTAGTGTTTACGTAGACTATTAGCTAGTATTCAGTGATATTTGAATTTTGTAACACATTCGAATGTTTTCTTATTCGTGCACAAAATCATGTTTACATTTAAAATTATTGTTGGAAATAATTGTTTGTTTAGTCGTAACTCATTGCTATATAAACCAAGATATCTGCTTGATAATTCTAATGTCCTTTGTACCATCTAACCCACTGATTAAACTACTTCTCATTTGATTAGCCACCGAAGATTCATAATCAATAGCAGCGTTTTCTCTTCATAATTAATCATTCAAATTTTTCAAAAAACTATTCTTTAGAAATTAAAATCGTTAACTTTTATGATTGATGTTGATTTTCGTTTAAACTTTTTTAAGTTATATGCGAAGTACGAATATGGTTCAAAAGCACGAGCATCTAAATTATAACGTAATGGTTCAATGTAATTCAAAAGCGGTCACGAAATCGCTGCACGTTAGAAACTACTTTTATTTCAAAGTACTTATTATGACGGGTTTTGTTAAACATGATTATGACGAGAAAATTTTTTCTATAGAAAATACTAATAACTATTTTTTATTCGCTCCACAATATACACTATTTAAATAGTTGATAAATGTCTTTATTTAAAGACAGTTACTTTGTTTGAAATATACTACCACAAAGGTTTCACTTATTATTTGGTGTGAAGCATGGTACGATTACTAATCAAAGATAAAACTCCACTTTCTCAGTATATCATCATAGGAGATGCTGTTTGCGGCTAAGGTGCTATATTTTAGCAGAGCACTCATTATATCTTGAAGATATCAAGTACTAGATACACAATTTAATTCAAAACCGGGTATATAACACATATCCAAAGATATTTGGAGTGTAGCTTTAGGTAACAACATTAAAACAACCCAAGAATTACAGACATCTGAATATTCTGGCATTTTCCAATGTTACATTATTGTGATAGTAGTGCTGAATATACAACACTTTACATAATTATAATTGGAATACATTTATTCCAGTGAAAACAACGGTGGTGATGCAATAAATATAAGTGATATTTAAGGTGGATTTAGGAAAGTGGATTTACAACTTTGATGTCAAAACCTCTGCAAAAAGTAATATTGCTGTTACTTGATATTAGGCTTGTATCTTTTAATACTAAGTAAAAATTACTGACACTATTTTACTGGTTAGAAAATGGCAGTGAACTATATGGAATAATACTATGCAAAATCTAAGGAAGGTATATTTTTGAAAAATTGAAATAGTAAACTGATAACATAGACCACCCAAATTACATTTGAAGAACCAAAACTTTTAATTTTAGCTTGTCTTTTTTATAAGGTTAAAAGTGGCAGAAATCAACATCTGTAGAATAGGAAACTTATTGCTTCAAAAGATCAGTTATATGTTCATATTTCATATATATTCCGTTCTCAAACTTCCAAGACATTTTCAACATCATAATATTTATAATTAACAGTTTAACAATTCAGTTTGTAAGATATGAATTTAATAATTACATTTATTGTGGTTTATACTTCTTCCTTTCAGACTGTATGGACTTTATTTAATGTTGTAATAAATACATTTAAGATAAGATCCAACCTAATTGTATGGGATTGTATTAGCAACAATAAAGTGGAAGATGCAAAACTTTATATCAATGTAACTTCAACAATAAACTTTATTGGTATTTGAAAGCAATGGATTATCTGAACTACAGTTATGCTTTATATTATTATTTTCCATTTTCCAATATAACAATACATTTTTTTATTAAATCAGGAATTATTTGCATTTCAACCCATGTTTTAAGAATATCTTAATATTGTGTTAATCACAGCTTTCAATTTTTGTATCAAGTAACATATATCTGTTTTCATAAAATCATTCAGAATAAAGTAGCAAAATAGTTTACTGCTTGTTAAAATTTCTTCTTTTACATTGCTTATGATGATCAGTCATTTTGCAATGCAGTTTATTTAAATTCAATGCAAAAGGAGTTTTATTACCATAAACGTTATTATTATTATTGCTGCTGGGGTGGGGGAGTGGCCCCTCTCATCACAGCAACCTATAAGATCTATTGTAACTTAAGCCCTTCAAAGGTTTAGGGCAAATGTATGTCCTTGATGAACCTTAGTATCGCTCCAAGGTCTTCTTTGACCTGTAAGTTCTTTCCAGTGTAAGGCTACCTTTGAGGCCTCCCAACTATTGATTGCCTACTTTAAGTTGCTTTTTTGTAGTCCACAGCCAGGTTGGGGTCCAATAAAAGGCGTTTTTGTTGCCTCTTTGGCCAGCTTGTCCGCTTTTTCATTGCCACCAATATCTATTAGTGGTATTTAATTACCATACATGTTAACCCATTTCTCTATATCCTTCTGGTTGTTTACATGGGTTTGGAAAGTGATGTATTATAAACTTTGAGCTTAAACAATTCTTAATAAAACAGGATGCATGAATGGTCATTATTCTAGAAATGAAAGCAAATAAACAAAAAGCTTTGTTTTTACTTAAATTAAATGAATTGTATGGATACCTTCCTGCACTGTAAGATATAAAACATAAATCAATTAATAAATCAATCCGTAAATTAAGTGATCTGGTACGGAACGCTGAATTAAATGAAACGAATCACCAAAAGCTGTACAATATATCAAATTATGTAAAACAGAGCAAAAAGTTGTTCATGTAAACAAAGCGTACACAAAATGTCACAAAATAATTAGTGTACGCAGCGCCATCTAGTAGATAACTTTAGTTTAGTGATTAATTGTCTACTAGATGGCGCTGATAATTACAAAATCTTGATTTTAAACTGGGTTTTGTAACAAATTTAGTTACGTATTACTCCGGTTATTTCGGGATATGAACCTAAACATACTGTTAGAGTACTTTTAAAACGATAGTTAATAAGATTTTCAACAATTTTTTAGTTTAGAAAGTACTGGCAACCTAAGACAATATAATTCTTTAATCTTAAAACTTAAAATAATTAATTATTGAATAAAAAAATTAGTATCGCCATTTACAAACCTTAACACTGCAAACACACTTCACTGTAAATACACTTTAAGCATAAATAGGTAATTATATAGGTAATGTATTTTTTCATATTTTTTTTTATTTAGTGGTGACATCTGCTAGTCAACAACGAAAGCAATCGATTTAATTTATAATTTTAGTTTGAAACTTTGCTAAAAATTTGTTGATTTCTCTTTTTAAATTGATTTCCTACACTAACATTATTTTAAAATTCATTATACCGTTATCTTTGCTAAAAAAAATTAAAAAATTATCTATTTATTGCAACGTATAATAAGTTATTTTTGGAAACAACATTTCATAATCTATTTTAATATTACGCCATCTATGGGTTGAGTGATGGTTTAATAGACGTTGTGGGAAAATTCAAAATAATTTATTACTTAATAAATTCATTTTTTGATTTAATAACCACAGGAATACTAAAACTTAAAATGTTAGGAATTATTTTGTGTCTATTTTACAATTATAATATAATTTTAGTAGGATTTCATAAAGAAATTATCGAAAAAATAAATTATATTCTAGATAAATATGAGTATAAAACCAACCTTTATTAAAAAAGATAGAATAATAATGTGTAATAATTTAGAGATCAGTTGAAGAGGTAGGCAGAACCGACGACGTCAGCCAAAACTTTTAGAACCCGTCCCCCGAACAGCACAGTTTGTAGGAGTACATGTGTTTTTGTCAGATAATAGATAGTATATCATAAAAATGGGCGTGCCTGGGCGATTTATCAGGAAAGAGGAAAATGGGTTGTTACATTTAGATGATCCAAACGACGATAGATATCCGAAATGTATCGTTACGGCACATTGTAACTTTTTCTTATGTATCCGTAAGAAAACAATTCAATGTGATTTATACGACCGTTATTCTCATTAAGTATCTGAACCAACAGAAATAAAGAAAAATAGTCTTAACTTGTGGTTTCAATTAAATTTTAAGAATACTTTGTATATCTAGTATTTTTGAACAATTTTAGACAAACTAACTTCGGTGTGACGTAAATTAACAAGGGAGTAAGTTTCGGTGTTCAATTATGTAAATGTGATGATCGTGTCGGGAAGGGCGATCGACCCTACTATTATGTGTTGATGAATAAATGATTTTTATACATAGATGAAAATAAATCACTTATTGTTAATAAAAATAATTTTTTACTCTTTATAATTTGTAACAAATATAAGAAAATATAAGTACGTTTTCCTTCACATATTTATTTTCTTTTGGCAATACTTGTAAAATGTGTTTCCCGTCGGCGTTATTCCAAATCACTTTTTCGCGTTTTAATTATTTCCTCATTTGGAAATTACCTAGCTTCTTGCATTTCCTTTTAAATTTCGTCTTCAGCAATTGTTTGGTTGCTTTGTATCTTGCTTCGATTTATCTAACTCAGTTTTAGTTATTAGAACATATGGTGTCTCATCAAAAACGATGTCACATTCATCTTTAATTCTTTTACTATATAAATTTCGAAATCATCCTTTCACTCTCTCTCTCTCTCTCATATATTAACAGTAACTCTTGATGAACTCTCACTTATCTCAAATCTATTAGTTTTATGATCACTAATATCTTCCTCGCCCATAACGTCAATAAAAAATATGGTGACCTCTATTTCCTCGTCATGTATATCCATCATTAAATCTTCAGTATTTCCTTTCTCTGCGTTATGTGTTGTAGGTTATTAGCTGATATAAAATATAACAGAAGAAAAACTATTTGCATAGATAACTTCTTAGTCTTCTTTCTCTTCAGCTTCAATTATCCTCTGTATGTAATTATGTCATGTATTTGGATTCTTCAAATGTCTCATCTTTTCTAGTGGAAAAAATGTGACCAACATCGTTCTTCTTATCTTAGTGGAAACAATTTCCATCTCTATTTAGAGTAGTTAGTACACATTGACTTCACTGTATCTTCATATCACCATTCTATTACTTTAGCTTAATATCATAAGCACACCGTTTATCCTAGTAAGTTTAATAAAGATGTTCTTTTTGGACTGAATATTGGATACTCACAATTTGAAATATGGGTGATGCGCATAATGCTTAAAGTATCATAGACGGAACACATTACCAATAGACTGGCACTAACAAAGATGAATGTTGATAGAGAAATTGCAATTGTCAAGTGACGAAACACAAACCACCTGGGGTCACATTTACAGAGACAGATGACACGAATTCCTAAGACTTATGATGGAAGACAAAGTTGAGGGCAGGAGAGGTCTAAATCCACAATAACTGCTAAGAGCGACACAGAACAAAGAACGATTTGCCGAAGTTGTAGTCAACCTCAATGAAGACGAAATCTTAGGAAGAAGAAGTGTTAGCAAATTTTTCTGTAAATTTGTACAAAAAGCCATGTATGTAAAAAATTCAACATTCAAATATCGCTTTTTAGTGCAAATTAGTGACCTACATGCAGAAACATTCCTCGTCGAACTGGAAAGACGTTGAAGCGATTCATCATTAAAGGAATCCATCCCAAGTACTATTTAGTCCTACAAACTTTGCTGTACCTTAATTTTATCAATATTCTTCTGGTTGTGATTGTCATTTTAATCCAGCTTAGAATTCACCTCTTCATAATTGGAGCTATTGAGGTTTAATAATGCATAGTGAATAGTTTCGTCTGGTAAATTTGTTGAAATCATTGTAAATAAGTAACATTATTTTTACAAAACGATTAGTAAACTATAATAGGCAAGCAAGATAGTCTCAGTAGATGTTCTATCTCTAATTTGCTGTATAAAATATATGATGTACTGATTCCATTAAAGGTTTTTACCCTTACAACTCCTCACCTCCATTCTATCTCTGGCACTAATTATATCATATTCGATAACTTCGGTTTTGTTGATATTTAATTGAAGATTGTTTGTATCAAAACATTGTTCTAGACATTCTATTCTTTTAATGATGATTTTGTTCAAGGTTATTATTGCCAGAACAGATTACAGAGGTAACATCTGCATATAATTTAACTGGTAGATCCACCACATCAGGCAAGGCATTTATATATACAACAAGGATTATAACACTGATCCCTGTGGTACTCCGCTTTTGGTATATACCTCTCATTTTCACGTTCAGTTGATAAATTCCACGTTCAGTGTTTCTTCTCTTTAAGTAATCATTTTGACTGTTCGAGAGTATATCCTTTTTATGGATTAGAATGACTATGGCTTTCTTCCATTGTTTGGGAATAAAAAATAAATATGATAAAAACATATACATACATAGTTGTCTAAACTAAATTTAGATACAGTTAATAGATTTCTAAATTTGTTATGTCTAGAAAATTTATTCCAATGTATTATATGTTTGGAATGTATTCCAAATTGTGACCACTTTTAATCTACACATCTTATACTTAAAGTTCAATAATTTGAAAGCCCATTATTTTATGGCACAAAAGTGCAAATTCTTTTATAGGCAACGTTTTCATAATGTATGTTTAAACTAGATTATTGTTTATTTTAGGAATACTCGTTAATAACTGAAAAAATCTCTTTCATCTTTTTTTTGTATCGGAAAAGGGTGGTGACACATTTGGTGGAAGGGTGAACGGCTTCCAGCAGCGTTTGTAATTGCTTCGGGTGCGTCGTTGTATCTCGTTACGCTTGTTGACATGCAAAAGCCGATTAATGGTCGATGGCGAGAGATGTGTACCTCCTCTCGTTAACCTAACTTCAAAAATCTTCCAAATTGTTCCATAAATAAATGTTTAAATTAACGATTAGCAAACATCGATGTACATTTTTTGCCTTTTTACTTTATAAAGTAAGTCTAAAGTGGCGATTTACTTAAACAAATCCAATCCCCGTTTCCCTCGTTTAATCGGATGACGTTCGCGGTTTTCCACAAAGTCGTTCTAATTCACCCCCGCATATAAACAGGATTTAGGTTTTGGGGAGTTGGTTGTAGAGTAAAGACCAGCAAAATGGAAGAGAGAGAGAGAAAGAGAGAGAAAGAAAGGTGGGCGTGTTTGCCGCAAATTGCGACACCGATGCCCCCAACAACGGCTGGACCCCGGGGGTTGCTGCGTCCGCTCCCCCGCTGTTCCCCTTTTTATAGGGAAACCGACCGACCAATTTGGAGGAAGGCCCCGGGAAACGCGGATTCAGCGGCACACGCTCAGAGACCGACAGATGACAACGCACCGAGGAAAGAACCTAAACGGTTCGAATTTTTTCTAGTTTATTCTTTTTTCGTTTCAGCTCCGGTTTTGGTCCCCTTTTCGTGATTTTGTAGATTGTCTCATTTAGGCGACTGCAAATTACTTTCTCTCTACGATTCTCGACTCTTTGGGTGTGGATGTATCAAAAAAACTTTCTTTTTTTTATGTTAGGCGGTCGTTATGGTGATTATTGAGGGAGAGAAGAGAAGTGTTGAAAAAGGTGTTTGGTTAATTCTATCTTCAGTTTCTAAATTAACTGTCACAAGATCTATAGTGTTAAGAAATTTTACATTTATGAATTAATTTTTTTTAAAGATACAGTAAAACCTCGATATAACAGATTAATATGGGGAAGAGAGTGTCCGTTATAGCCAAAAATACATAATATGAGGATTGCTACATCCAAGGAACAGGCAGAGAGCTCGAAGGCCCATTTGTGACGTCAGCGGTGAATAA